ATTATTCAAATCATAAAATGTCTTAAAATGGCCATCTTGGTTTTTATGAGATTCTATTAAAACAGTAAAGTTGTTTAAAAACAGAAAAATTAAAAATGTTAATTTCAATTTGCATTCTGGACCAGGAATAAAAGAAGTCTGTCCAGTCAGTAATCCTTCACCACCATATAAATACATCAAAGAACTCACAGAGACACACAGAGCAAGAGTTCAGGGACTTATCCATCATCGTGCCGACTGCCGTATTTAACCAAACCGTGGAGCAGCATGTGGTTCTGATAGGCATCTACAGCCTACATGCAGCTCCACACGTAGCCTCATCACAGCTCATTATAGACGGCTGGGCTTCACTTACTGATGACGACTATAAACAAACACCACACACACTATTCCTCTGCACCAACACTGTGAGTTCTCTGTAATGGCTCATTAAGCCACAGCTGGAAAAGTCCTCTTCTGTGTTTGGGTTCGATATGCTAATTTAAACAGGTCTTGGCTCGTAATGAAAGCTGTCCTTCCTGTCGAGCCTGACCTGGAGACGCTGGCTTTCGAAGTAGCGATTTGAGAGAGGAAAAAAAAAAGTGTTACATAAGTTTTTCTTTGTGCCATTTTTCATTAGAGTTTTGTTTTGGGACTCTTTCAGGTCATGAAGGAAATCGCAGCATCATCTGCATATGTGTACATACATTTGTGTCTGCACTTATGACAATAAATAATAACCTCCTCTAGAAAGGTTCTGACTGCATTTTTAACTAATGCCTAATTACACATCTGCCTTACATGCAGAAAGTCCTGGGTTCGAACATACATAGATATATTAATCTGTTGTGCATAGATTTAATGATTAAAATACAAATTTTAATGTTTCCATTTTTGGAGGTGTACAGCATTTTGTAAGTCTGTGCTGTGCTCTGTGCCAACCCTCACCACTTTTAAGGGTCTGTGGTTGGATTTGATTAGATTAAGATTAGATTAAGATTATATATGGACCATAACATAATGTTTGTTCGACATCTTTATTTTTAGCACCCCCCAGAGGTATATACCAGCAAGTGAACAGACGCTTTCTTTTAATTACTGAATATATTAGATTCAGCTGTGTTTCCATAAATAAACAAAGACAGAACCAATATCTCTGTTCTGTTTTTAATCTGATTCAGTCCTCTGACCAATCTGATAAGGAGACGCAGACAGGGTAAAAAAACAACAACAAAAAACTGATGTTTTTTGTTTGACCGTCGTTGAAACTGATTAAAGAGAGAGAGAAAGAATGATGAAGATAAATATTCGGGGCAGTAAGAATGTTTTCATGACACCAAATGGAACCTAATTCAACATCTGCCATCAATGAAAAATATTTTTGGTTCCTAAATAATTTGGCTGAATAGTTTAATCCGATTATTCCAATGTGAGGCCTGACATTCTATATATGATGATGACAAAGAGACTGAGTGGGTGGATGGATGGATGGATGGATGATGGATGGATGGATGGACGCAGACTGTGGTTCAGACGCTGAAACAGCTGAGGTCATCATCATTAGGAGTAATCATAGTCTCGTTTGGTTCCACTGCTCTTTTTGTTTTATGCCTGTGAATGAAAATAAATATTAACCTTGGTTGGAGGATGGCGCCTGGTTTACTCTCATTTATATGCATTAACGTTCAGATGGGGAGAATGAAAAACAAATCTGCCTGAACTTTCTCTTTTGCATTTAAATGTCATTTAAAGTGTATAATTTTTTTTTTCAGAACTCATCTATACGTTTTATATTCAACTTTCAGACCGACATTTGTCCTTCCTAATACCCTAATACTTTGGGTTTTTAGCAGGTATGTCCAAAGTCAAGGCCCATCAAAAGCCTTTTAATCAGTTCCAGGTGGTCAGGATTCTTTCATAACTGAAGAAGGTACTTTACTACCATAAGAAAGTGACTCTGAATCACATTTTTAAATAAAGGTTTCATTTTTGAGCTAACTTAACTGCAATTAATTATACTTATTATTCTGAGCTCTGTTGTAGTTCTTGGTTACTGCCTTATGACAATAAAGAATCTTGAAACTTTGAATCCTGATCTTCTTGCTGTGAAGGCATGCATTCTTCCATCGCATTAAAAAAAGTACTGAAGTTATCCCTTTAATCACAACTCCTAAATTAGTTTTCTTTACGCACATGTATAACAACACAACAGTGTACGAAACAGTTCAAGAAACACAAATATATTGAAGTTTCAACCTTCAGACATGAGGACACGTCAACAAGTTGGGTTGCATCAATGGGTCGGATCATGAATAAGTTGATAAAATCCAGAGAGTGGATGCCACTGGTTAAAAACTACAGTTCAGGACTTGTCCTTTTTGGACTCATGGCTTGTATGGTGACGCCCTAATGGTAGCCTTGAGCGAAGAAAAAATTATACTTTGGCCAAATCCGCCCTCCGACGTGTTGAGTTTCTGCTCGGGGTCATAGATTTTTACATTTCTCCCCCGCTCGGTGTGAACAAGGCGACAAAAACGAGACAAGTCAGGAAAGCAATAATGCTACCGTCGGACCCCATTTAATCCTCACATAATGCCTGGCAAATGAACCCATCACATTAAGTGTCTCGCCACATGACAGACGCAGCTCTACACCACATGAGAGATGTAATTATCCGGCCGCTGATGGACCTCCCCCTCCTGACCCCCTCGCCTCTGTGTGGGGCTGAGTGAAGGACGTGTGGAGCATAACTTACAGAGACACAGCCACATTAGAGATGCTGTTCTCAGACACCTGACGGATCTGCCGCTCTCAGGTAGCCTCGGCTCCTCTTAACCTTTTCATCCAGAAAGGATTTGTGGTGGATGTGACTTGATCTCATTAAAAAAATAAAAAATAAAAATTAAACTCTGATAATTTCCTCTGCTGAAGCCTCTGACCGACATTTCCAATTTTGTCCCACTTACATTTATGGTCAAAACCTGATACATGGAACTGTGTCAGGTTACAAAACTAATACAAAATATCACAAAACCAAAACAAATCTGACAGCTAGCCTGGATTATTTCCATATTCCACTTCTGAATCCTTATCCCGGGGGGGTTGTTGACAGCCAGTACAGTGTGGGGGTGAGAGCTCTTCAGGATTCTGTGACATTTCTATGAACTGTCACTTCTGTTTCAGAGAGGAAGGTCAAAGAGGAAGTGACTGTGGTCGGATTTCTTTTTTCTTTTTTTTTAGCAGGGGTGAAAAATGTCCTCTGAGGTGGGGGCAGATGTCAGTGTCATGCCCCGTCCTTGAATTCTTGCTCATGTCATTTAACATTTGAAAAGTGCAATTTTGTAATGAAAAATTAAAACCAACGCTAAAAAGACATGCTAGGATGTGTGTCTGGTTTCTGTGTGTGTGGATCATTTGCTGCTAGGCCACTGGTGCTTTAATCATTTCCTGTCGTCTGGATAAGAAACAGGAGATTAAAAAAACACAACTGTTAATCAAGCTCCTCAGTGACACAAACCAAACAGAGCTCATTTACCTGACGCAGAGTCACTGTGGTGGAAAAGCAGCAGTGGAGGTTCTTTAAAGAGAAAATAAAATGTTGTGTAAGATGATAAAATGAAGATGTAAAAGTGTAAATGTGCTGAAGAAGTTCATCTAAATGGATGATTATGAGAAAATGCACCAAAAGCTTCAAAACGCTGGGTACTCAGTGTTTTCTCCACTAGTAAACTCAAGTCAAAGGCGGAAAAATGTTTTGTTGTGGGGGCGAGTGGGTCATGAATCTCTCAGAGCAACAATGTATGTAACCAAAGCAACATTACAGAGTCCATGTGTGATTCTAATATAAACTCTAATTCAAAACTGATTGAATCTTGTTTTAAAAAGAGAAAAAGCTTTGGCTCTCCTCCAAACAGGTGCGTTTGTGACCCAGGAACTGTTTTGTCTCCATGTGGCACTAACACATGTAACACGAGTTTTTATTAGGTCTGATTAGAACCAAAATAATAATTATAAAAAACAACATTGGTGTGTGGTTTTGAGGAGCTCATGTGTGTGCTTGACTGGCCTGCCTGCAGTCCAGATGTGATCCAGAAGGAGGAGGGGTGGTATATCATAGAAGGCCAAGTACTTTTTGCAGCAAGAACGAGCAAAAATTCAATTTCCATGGCAACAAATGGCTTCTTCAGTCCAGAATTTAAATAGAACTTCCAACATGACTGTGCACCAGTGCACAAAGCAAGGTCCATTAAGACATGGATGACAGAGTCTGGTGTGGATGAACTTGACTGGCCTGCACAGGGTCCTGACCTGAACCCGATAGAACACCTTTGGGATGAATTAGAGCGGAGACTGAGAGCCAGGCCTTCTCGACCAACATCAGTGTGTGACCTCACCAATGCGCTTTTGGAAGAATGGCCAAAATTCCTATAAACACTCTCCTCAACCTTGTGGACAGTCTTCCCAGAAGAGTTGAAGCTGCAATAGCTGCAAAAGGTGGACCGACATCATATTGAACTCTGGGTTAGGTATGGGATGGCACTTCAGTTCATAGTATGAGTCAAGGCAGGGGAGCGAATACTTTTGGTAATATAGTGTATATGGACACTGTAAATGATCCGACTTATATAAAAAATGGCTCCACTTGACCCCATGACCCTTGAGAATAAGTGGTGCAGATATGACGGGAGGAGAGAAGTCTATCACCTCACCTCTCTGGACTGGTCATCTGTCTGGTCCAGGGCCAGCCGTTTAAGGGATAATGGACTGATGGAGGAAAGTTTGCTATTAGCAATGATGATGTCTATACAGTAAAAGCCATCCATCCATCCATCCATCCATACATACATCTATCCAAACATCCATCCATCCATCCACAGAGGTTTGACTGCAGTTTACACCCCCGCCCCCCAAGTTGAAAACACCGCTTGTTTTGTACACACACGTCCGTATCCCTCAGCCATAAAATTCTCCTACTGTTTTTTTCCTCTCACCCGTTTTCTTCCCACTTCTCCTCCCCCACTCTCTCTCCACAACTTGTGCCTGTCTGATGTGATTGGTTAGTTTTCTGACAGTGAGAACAGTGGCAGTATAAATCCATGGCTGTGGGGGCGGAGACACCCACAGCTTCCTCTCAGTCACCACTGAAGAAACGTTGAGATTAAACTCTTGTTTGTCTTTTGTCGCTGACGTTGGATTTTCAGCCTTGTCACCATGTGTAAGGGACTGGCCACACTTCCTGCAACATGCCTAAAGAGGTGAGTTATTTATGTTTTTTATTATTGAGAAATGTGTGGTAGAAGTGTTAGTGGAAATGGATATCGGTTCAATCAGGGAGTGCAGTCGGTCATGTGGCAATTTGAAATCAGATTTTTTAACCTTTGAAATAACAATACTAAAAAAGATCAATAAGAGATAAAAGAGCATCGATCACCTCAATGTTTTTGTAGTTTTTTTTTTTCATTGCATCTTCCTGACTCCTGTCTCTCCTCAGTGCCAAAGATATCAAGCACAAAATCAGCTTCTTGCTTCAGAAGCCTGAGCTCCAAGTGTCAGATCAGAAGCAGATAAAGGAGAAGACGACGACCGCCGCTCCTGTTTCTGCAAAGAGGTGAGAAGAACTGTTTATTGTTCAGATTCTGCAGCTTCTATAATACTGTTAATCTATGTTTCCCATTGGTAGAATTATTTTTTCTCTCACATATTTAGACCCAAACATTTCTCATACAACACCACCTTTATTGACATATTTTTATTTACTACCTTTGGGAAAATTAACAAATAAAAAATAAATCAATGGTAACCACCAGACCTGACCCAAAACAATGATGCACAGTGTCGTGCAGTGTGAAATATTGACAGATCATTGAATGCCTCACAGGAACCAAATTACAAGAGCTGATAATGAGGAATGGATTAATAAGACCCTGTGTTTGTGATCTCTCGTTGGAAAAAGACTCGGGTAACAAAGCCTTTATCCCTGTAATGCAACCATCACTGTCATTCTCATCATTACTGTGTAGAATTCTGAACATTGTTTTTTTTAGCTGTTTTTCCTCTGATTCTTTGTCAAAATTTCAGCAGCTTTTTATTTTGTTCCCTCTAATTACCCAGAATACCGCTGGTGTTATGCTGTGGTGTCACCATGGGAGAAAAACAACAATGCAATAATCTTAATGATTGATATTAGTCATAAAATGTATAATATAATCAGCAGCGTGTAGTTCGTCGTATTGAATTGTGTTTGGCCAGGGACACATTAGTGCGATTTGTTTTGGACTCGGTCCAACCTGTAATGACCGCCCCTTATGTTGTGTTCCCTCAGGGAGGTTCCCGTCGTCTTTATGAGCAGGTTAGCATCGACAACATTGTGCCTGAATCTCCAGGTGTCATGTGACTCACAGACACAGATAATTATCTCACGCTCAGAATGCGTTTTTTTTTTTTTTTGTTTTACTGAGAAAGACTCTTTTATTAACATTAGGTGTAAATAGACCCGGGGGAGACAGGAAGTACTCGTAACTGTCATTTATTTTTTTGACTAGAACTATTGATTCCTCACCTTATTGTTGTCTTAATGGATTCTGAGGGACAGGAAAAGCTTTCATTTTATTTTTTTGGATTAGTTTTAATGTCTCTTCAGGCTCTGACTTAGATGAACAAAAGCAGATGATGATGAAACAGCTGACCATCCTTTATGTTTTGGACTTTTAGTAAATGTAATATTTGTATTATTTTAATCCACTGATATCTCCTGTTAAAAGGTAAAAGTCCTGAATGGGTGGGGGAAAAATTTAGTATACCTATAAGGCCGTGTATCCTGTCTTGGAGTGGAAAAAACCCCAGCCTTTCTGTTTTTGTACATATTAAACACCTAATTATAACCCTCTGTGTGTGTGTGTGTGTTGCAGGCTGCCTGATGTAGCGGAGGTGATGAAGTGGAAAGAGTCCTTCAGCCACGTCCTGAACAGCAACAGTGAGTCTCATCATTTATTGCCATAAATAATCATCTAATAAAGACAACAGTGTGTGTTTCTGACATTCAGTGTCACTCCTGTTCATTACTACGTTATATTATCACTATATTTTAAACTTTCTGAGCAACAAAGATCCAGTCCAAAGTCCAACACATGTAACCTAGGAGACATCACTCTTCACACATCTGATAGAAACAACGATTTTTATTTTTGAAGAAATGCTGCACACTGACACGTAAACATTGATGTATTCTCATGCCCTGGTTCCTCTGTTACGTGTCCAGGGACACAGTTTGCGGCCCCTCAGGGCAAGTTGACCGACGCATCTGTTTGTGTGTGTGTCGGCCCTCAGAGAGTTACTCTGTTTGTGTGTGTTTGGGGAGCAGACAGTAAAGACGGAGCAATGGCCTTGTGGGAGTCAGTAGAGGGTGACCTGCTGTGTTCCATGATCTCATACCTTGACCTCTGACACCGCCATGTCCTCCCACTGTTTCGCTTCGTTTTCTACTGTCAGCTGCGTTTTGTCCCAGTTTTTATTTATCAAAGGACCGTGTTCTGGAGGAAAATCTAATAATAATAATAATAATAATAATAATAAATATATAAATATATAGAAATATATTTCCACACTATGACCCTTCTCTCTCTCTCTCTCTGGGCCAAATTCAGTCCACCAAGTCATTTTGTGTGGCCCAAGGGAATTAAAAAAGCGTTTCATAATGAAGTCCATGCTGCTGAGTTTCTGAACCTGATAAAGGAAAAAGGTTTGTTTTGTGTTTTGTACACAGAGTGAGGTACAATATTAACCTTTTTAACTTTAGGTCAGTGGGTCTAAAGTTTTACCTAATTTTAACAAACCGCTCATACATTTTTTTTCTTTCTTTCTCTGTTCCAGTTGGACAGACTGTCTTCACTAATTTCCTGAAGTCCGAGTTCAGCGACGAGAACATTGAATTCTGGTTGGCCTGCGAGGACTACAAGACCACAGCAGCCTCCAAACTGGTGACCAGAGCCAGGCAGATCTACCAGCAGTACGTGGATTCAGACGCGCCGCGTGAGGTGAAAAAGCAGACACAGAATCTAAATTTACGATTCTGAGAACGTCTATACAAGATTAAAAGTTAAACATCAGTTTGATTTCCAAACATTGGGGTGGTGTGGGTGAAAGGGGGCTGTGTGTGTGAATGGATGGAAAAGATTAAAATGCAATTCATAAACTACAATGAAATCTTTGTAAGTCGGGTTATGCAAAGACACATTCCTCTTTAGTGGAGTGATTGTTGATACACACATGAATATTACTTCCTGAAACAAGACCTAACGCCTTTGAAAGTGCTCTGAACCCTTCATTAACATGAGAGGAGACGAGCGTGTGAGTCAAGGAGAAAATTGATTAAAAAACCAGGAAAAAACATTTTGTAGAATGTTTTTTTTAATGTGGTTTCTAACCTTAACCCTATCCTTTGGATTTCTTTGTGATCATTCTTTAACTGTCTGTGTACCTTTCCCCAGGTGAACCTGGATGCGGCGACTCGAGAAGAGACCAGGCAGAACCTGGAAAACGCTTGCCCTTCATGTTTCGACGGAGCTCAGAGGATGATTTACATCCTGATGGAGAAGGACTCCTACAGACGCTTTCTCAAGTCCAAACCCGTCCAGGATCTGCTGCAGAGTCAGGATGGGACGGAGGACGAGCAGGAGAAGAGAGGCTGTGACTCTGAAGGAGACAGGCAGGTGTTAGCACGTGGCGCATAAAACAGGAAATGATGTAGAAGGTGGAAGAAGGTGACAGAAGGAGCCAAAGTCTGTAAACTGTTGAAGATACAGAAAGTGCAGTTTACATTTCCTGCCTTTGCCTTTTTTTTAATGTCATGTAGGTGTTAGAGGACGAATCCATTTGCCCACAGCTTCTTTTCTTTTCACATTTGTAACAATTAATGCTGTCAAAATAAATGTTTAATGAATCATTTTACAATGTGTACAAACTTAAAAGCTGTTTTAGTGTTTGCCTCGTGACCTTTGACCTTTTCTCTGCTTCTTTACGGAGAAACAGGTGGCGTGAAGGTTATGTTGATACTTGTAACAGGAAATGTTTTTAAAGCTACCTCCACTAGAACAGCTCCACCTTCTGTCAACACAGTCTTGCCCTTCTGGTGGTTTCTGGTCATTTCTCTGAGTAAAATAAAAAGTCAGGTGTTCAGTGACGTACCGATCAGTGTTAAAAAACGAAAATATTTGTACAATGTAAAAAAAATAAATAAATAAAAGGTGAACCAGAACCAGTGTACCAAACTGTAACATCTAATGTGAACGTGTTTATGGCAATTTGTCTTTTCTTTTTTTTTTTTGCATATTCTTGCAGATAATGTTACGTAGTGTGTTTTTCTCTCTGTTTCCATTTACTGTATCCTCCTTACGTTGTATAAACACTACAATTTAAATGTTGCTTCCACGTAATACGCTTCAACTTTCACCTCCTCTATGTGTCTGATGTAGTAGTGAACTTCTCCTGCACGTAATTGTGACCAGATTAATGTGTTAAAAACTGTGCACTGGTGTATTATATTGATTTACATATGCGGTTTAGTTTTGTATGAATAAATGCTCTTTGACGGAAAGCAGTGACAGTAAAGTAGTGCAGACATGTATGACCTGATCACTGTCCTATTTATATCATGTCTGTGATTATTGAGTAATAAAATTTTATGTGGAGTGATCTATAAGATATGAAGCAGATGTTTATATTTTTTGAAACGTTAGCTTTAGCAAGTTAGCACACTCAGCTATAACTGTGAAATCAAAATGTATGAATGTCATTAAAATATCATTAAAAGAGCCATTGGTATATGACAAGGAGAAAATAAGGCGTGGCAAAAGATTTATTGCTTATTAAGTAGAAATGTTAGCATTATCTTGTTAGCACACTTAGCTCTAAATGTGGTATCAGTGTAGAAAGATGTGCATGC